GGGTGCACGTATCCTAGTCATTTGGTCCACGAATGGGGCCAGATAATTATCTTCAATTTTCCTGTACTTTCTCAGTAACCAAACACAGAGGGCATGCTATTAATTTTGATCGCATGCTAAAAACAAAAACCCAAAATCAATTTGCTTAATACATTTACCTGAGGTTGAGAGGAAAAATCAGCAGTTAGTGATACCCTTCGTCTTGGTCGTTATGGACCTTGACTTCACCATCCCCAAATACCAACACACAAACCCGACCTTTGAAAACGAGAGCACTTGCAAAGACGAAGAGTTCGCAGGTGCTCTATCACTTTCCAGAGAAAAGAAGGGATCCGAAGATCATCTATGGTCTGAATAGAAGGAGGATCAGAAGGGAGAAAAAAAGAAGGAAGAGATGAGGAAGGAGAAACAAGGAATCAGAGGAAGAGAATTCTGTCTTTTCATTGACTGAAAATACCAAGATACAGAATACCCTTTTGTACAAGAATTATGTACAAAACTATAAGCCCAAAATACAATGTTCTATAGCAATAACAATCACTAAAAAACTGCAGTTATTCCCCTACTAAATGGACACGTATCAACTGCCCTCCTCTCCAAATAATCCTTTTCCTCGAGGATTAGAGTTGAATTCAATAAACCATCAAAGAATCTGAACTTGGTTCCTATGAAAGTCAGCCACAATAAGACAAGTTGTTTAATAAGCTACTGCAACTTGTTGTTCAGTTGCAGGTAAACCACATGATTGACTGGAACCACAATCATGCCAGGATCAATTCAGAAAAATGTCGAATAAAGCCACCACAGCTCCCACATCTTCCCACATTTTCCAAGGTTCTTTGGTAAACTCAGTTTGGGTTGCAAATCTTATAGCTGGTAGTCTTATTTTGCACCTTAGTTGTAGACCCCATTCTCGCCTTCTCAAAGAACCCTTCTCCTCAACGGTTAAACTCACAAAACCAGATTTGTATTTCTGTAACACGTCCTCAACCACGCATCTTCCTGTACTAATATTAGCTAACTGTGGCCCATTATGTATTTCTTCTTTGTATTTAAACTCTCAAATACTTGTACGGCTAGTAACTCTTTGAACCTTACTCACATATTGCCCATTTCTAATAAAGTTCTAGAAGACATCCTTGACAATGTAGACCGCGATATATTTGCAAGCCATCTTATTGAATAACAAGTTTATTTATTTATTTATTTTAAGGCAACAAAGCCGCTTTTGACTTGTCAACATGCCACCTGATATCTGCAAATATTGATATTTTTCTTAGAAAATTCATAGCAAACACATAATTTTGCCATTGAGTATCATCACACATTCGTTTCCAATTAACAGCCACTACAATTACCTTGTAAACCATTTTACTTTTTTTTTTCTTGGAATTCCAGTGAATGCCTTTGTTAACCAATTCAGCTTGAAGACTTAACACTTTTATCCACTTTCTTGCCTTGCACTTCTATTTGCCCACCTTCAAGTGCTGTGTCCCATGTTCATCAAAACCCGAGAAACAAAACCTTTTTTTGTTAGAAATTTTCTTGTGGGCTGCTGCTGATTGTTTTTAGTTTATAAAAATGGGTCAAGTATGTCTAGATTTTATCTTAAATTTATATGGTGTGATATGAAATTATGAATAAGTATAGGGCTTGGAATTAGAGGGGGTTACTTGATGGGGCATTTAAAAAATTATTATAATGGATTATATCCCCTCTCCCATTCAAAATACTCTAACTCTATAAATAGTACAGTTAAAAAATGACATACTTCATTGATTGTCACTATATAGAAGTTGAATAAAAAGAAGAAGGCTTTAGTTTCAATACTAATCATATTTGTTTTGCAGAATGAAATCATAATGATCCTTGATAATCTTTGGGTAACATGCTAATTATGGAGATTAAGGTCTTCTATTGATTTCATATACTACATATTATGATTTGAATGATTTGGTATTCTAGAATTTAGTTTGAGAGATTAATTATTTAAGTAAGTTTGTTAGTTTGGTATCATGGCCACACAAATTAATCTAGGACTCCTAAAATCAATTCAATATTTGATTGGGTTTAATTAATTTTCCACTACATCCAATCAGTAACATATGATGGATTGTTTGTTTTATAATTTTGTTGAAGTCAATCTGCTGCTATCGTTTTGTTTTTTCACGATTAAAATTGCTTTATTTTGATGTGGCAGCATGTGATCATATCTTGAAATCACATTCTGTTACTAATATTGCCAATGATTTTTCTTTTGTAAAAGAACCGAATTCTGAATATTATTATAAGGTTCATAATTTTTTGTTTGCATGAATTCACAATTCTTTGTTCTAAAGAGATCTAGAACACAATCTCAGATGAGAATCACTTTAAGTAATAATGTGTAAGTTTGTTTGGTTTTGCTTTAAGTCACCGTGTATCTAAATTTTGAGAAATTTTAATTACTGAGATTTCTAAACGAGCATAACGCAAGATTAACAGTGGATTTGTGTTTAAATTTTCAAGCATAGAATAAGTGAATTCATAATATGGATTATATAAAATCTAAGAGTTTGGTGAATATTAAAATTATGAATTCATTGTGGTTACCAATTGAATCTCAAAATTGAAAATCACCCAAATCAAAAGATGGGTATGCCATTCAAAAGAAGAAGAAGAAGAAGAAAAAAAAAAACACTAGTGCTGTGATTTCATCTAGTTTTCAATTAATTTTAATTGGAAATAGTGTCTGGGCTTTCTAATTCGAAAGTGACGGAATGGGATACCAGAACCAAGTTTTGGTGAAAGCGATGATTAATGGGGAAATTCCAACTTAAATTAGTCTTCTAATTGTTATGTTTAGTGCAAATGCATCCTTAAATGATTAGTAAAGTTACAAATTAGAGCTTGGAAATTAAATTCAGGATTAATTACAATTTAATCCTTTTATCTTTCTCAAATTCAGATTCGCGTTCCAATACTACATATAGACGAGACTTCTTCAGAGCACGATGAGAGGGAAAGCGATAGAGAGAGGGCGAGGATCGTAGAGAACGATCGGCAGTAGAGCATGTGGAAAGTGGACAACACAACGTTCTGAGGGTGTCCGGCTGGAGAGAAGGGATCATTCGACACAATATTACGAGGGATTTGAGAAGAGGATACACAACCAAGCAACTCCATTCTTCTTCACAAACTTTCCAAAAGATTGGACTTCTGAACAAATGTGGAGAACCTTCAACAGACTGGGTGGGGGTAGGGTAATTGAAATTGAGTGCCCTAAGAGGAAAGATCGCCTGGGAAGGAGATTTGGTTTTGTTAGGTTCTTGGAGGTTAAAGATGTTGGTGAGTTGGAATGAAAGTTGAATCAGATTCAAAATGAAGGTTTTAAACTTCAAGCCAACAAGCCATGGTTTGAGAAAACATGGTATGAAAACCATCAATATAGGAATATGGGAAACAAGATGAGAAGGACGATTATAGTTGATGCAGAATGGCAATAGAAACTGACTTATGCTAAGGCAGTTAAAGGAAAGGTTGCAGATAACCAAGATTATGGACTGAAAAAAGGGGCAGTATCATGGAGCAAGTAGTAGGGACTAAGCCACAAAATCTGGGGCAAGTGAGCAAGGAAAATGGGGATGGAAGCCAAAACTACAACCTCAAGTATGGTCAAGAATGGAGTTTAATGTTAACAAGGAGGAGTATGAGTGCCTAGAGAAATGCTTTGTAAGGACAGTTCACTCGGTAACTTTGATACCAACTTTGCAAGAGAAATTCTATATGGAAGGAGTTTTCTTTTGCAAGATTAGAGCAATAGGAGGAAGGTTGGTCTTGTTGGAAGTCTATGACAATGAAGACTTGAATGAATTGATTGAAATTGGCCAAGATTGGTTAGGACATTGGTTTGAGGAAATTAAACCATGGTCCCCAACTATGGTGGCAATAGAGAGGTTCACATGGATTAGGTGTGTCTAGGACTACCTTTACATGCATGGAAGCTAGAATATTTTCAATCTTTTGGAAACCTTTGAGGCACTTTTGTCTCTTTGGATGATAGCACTAATGGGAAAAAAAACGTCTTGGCACTACTTGATTCCTCATATCAACACCCATGATGAAATCCATCTCAAAAACCTTATCCATAAAGATTAATGGAGTTTTGTACAAAGTAAAATTTTCTAAGGAGTCCAACAATGGTTTATATATAATGAACTTAGATTTTAAAATTGATGGTGGTATTGAGAAAGGTGATAAATGGTCAACAAGGGATTTTTATGGTATAGATCCTAGCTTGTTTGGTCTGGAAACTGAGCAAACAAAGGGTAGTGAAGAAGATGATGACATGGCAGCCTAACTATGTCTACAGGAAACAAACGTGGAAGATGATGCGAGATGCTTGGATGTGGTGGCATTATTATCAAGTGACACATCAGCTGTTAAGTTGGTGAGTCCTCAAAATGGCCAAGAAAGGAATAAGTTAGGTACTATTGAAGGGTTAAAAAATGAAGTGTCTATGACAGAAAAAGCAGCCACAAAGTGTGAGGAAGCAAAGGAGAACACAATGGGTGGGATGGAAAGATCTACAAGAAAGCATTTAATTATTGATGGGCTCAAGGAGGATGAGAGATAGATGTGGGTGGAGATGGACATTCGTAGTGAAAACATTGGGAACAGGCACAATTTCAAAACGGGGAAAATGGGGGAGCCATCATGGGAGAATAGTTCAAAATGCGTAACGGACAAATGCACACCTATTGCTTGTGCTTTGTTGAAAAATGATGAAACAACTAATGGGTCTGTTGGGTTCGAAAAAGAGTTGGACCTAAGAAATGGGAGAAATAGGTCGAAGGATGATGGGCTAAACCATG